TTAATTGTAGGCTGAAAATAGGTTTAAAATAGATTAAATGTAGGTAGAAAATTTTTTTGTTTCATTATTTAATTGAAAAAATTATCTAAATATGATAGCGCGTTTAGAAGCAAACATTTCTTCACCTTGATAACTTCACGTGAAATTCCCCATATTTCAAAAGGTTCAAATTCAATATAGAATCTATTTGAACCTATTGATGATATTTTAATAACTATAAATATGTATTTAAAATTTCCCTTTCTTTTTTTTTTAATTATTATTTAATAACACTTTCATTATATAATTTATACTAAACTCAAAGGATTTTATTTATAGATCATATATTAATTAATTAATCTAGAAAATTGTTTTCTCTTTATAATATAATTAGAATTTTAATTGATTATTATGAATATAATAAATTTAAAAATGACGAAACAAATAATAATTACAGAATTTTTTTTTTTTTTTTTAATTAAAATTATTCTACAAATAACAAAAAAAATATATATTTAAATTTATTATTATGTAATAAATATACATATTTTTAGGAATAATAAATTTCATAATTTGTTTTTTTAACCAATGTTTCTTAATTAAAAATTAAATAGAAAATTTCCAAAGATTATCAGACAGAAAATATTTCGATAAATTCTGAAGTTTGACAAGAAAAATATGTATAAACTTTATAAAATTGCGAGCAAACGCATTTTTTTTTTTTTTTTTTTTTTTTTTTTGATAAATGACGAAAAATAGTTTTCTCAGGAACGAAGGTTTCTTAATTAAGAAACTGAATCATCAATTAATTCAACATCGATTGTAATTAAAGGAAAGAATTCAGAAAAATTCACTTCTCACGAGCAATCGTAAAATTGACTATAGAGAACTTTATATATATATATATATATATATATATGTTGCAAAAGGAATGTCTAATCGTTGTAAGACGCTTTAGGAAAATGCCCAGGCATCGATGTAGTTTCACATAGTTTAATTAATAGAAAAAAACGACACATTTATACGATGTTGATTCTCCCCCTATGTATCGAATAATCTCTCGGTATATATACTTCCTACTGTTGTCGCAACACTTTAGTTTATCGGGAACCGACACACAAACGAAGTTTTAATGTTCTGCTATCACCCGATTGTAAGCGCAAAAACATGCTCCCAATAGAGATATATACATACAGTGTTTATATATGGCGTCAATGAACACACATCCGTTTCTCATAGAAATAAAACATGCTCATGTCTTTTGCTTTTGATTTTAACATTGGCGCCGTGAACAAGATTGTTTATAATACCTTTGTTTATTATAAAGGTTCATAGTAGGTCGAAAATAGATTCAAATTTGGTCGATAAAAGGTTAAATGTAGATTAAAAATATAGACTAATAGCAGGTTCAAAGTAGGTAGAAAATAGTTTAATTTACGCTTAAAGAAGGTCAAAAAAAGCCTGTATAGAGGCTCAAAGTAGGTCGAAAAACAGTCAAGGTTCAAAGAAGGTGGAAAATAGGTCAATTTAGGTTTAAAGAAGGTCGAAAATAGCCTAAATAGAGGCTCAAAATAGGTCGAAAATTGGTCAAATGTAGGTTCAAAGTAGGTGGAAAATAGCCAAATAGGTCAATTTGGGTTCAAAGGTCAAAAATAGCATAAATAGAGGCTCAAAATAGGTCGAAAATCGGTCAAATTTAGGTTCAAAGTAGGTGGAAAATAGGTCAATTTAAGTTCAAAGGTCAAAAATAGCTGAAATAGGGGCTCAAAGTAGGTCGAAAATAGGCTAATAATAGATTCAAAGTAGGTCGAATGAAGGTTAATTGTAGGCTGAAAATAGATCAAAAATAGCTAAATATATTTTAAAAGTAGGTGGAAAATAGGGTGATTGTATTCTAAATTTTACAAAATCCTGAATATTACAGAAACAAAAAAAATCACTTTTAGTGGAGTGTCAGTCCATTACATATAAAACTAATTAAATTGAAAGGGCACGATGAAATTACCATCATGAAAAATAATTAAGAAATAAACCTTATTCCTAATTTAAAATAACGATAAAGTAATAATGAGATTTTTCTCCCACTTTAGGTATATATATAAAATGTCAATATGCGAAATTTTTAACCGTGAGAAAGAGAAAGAGATTATAAAATATATTTTCACCACATAGGGAATTTCGTTAAATAGTTCTTGAATTGTGTCAATGAATTCTTTCCTTTGCGTGACTACCTAGCAGTGTAATTCGAGTGTGAAAGGCCAATAATACAATATATATATAAGTATGCGTTCATCATTCGCGATAATTTTTCCCTTTTCGTTTTACGGTATAGACTACCTTCGTTTCAGTAGAGTTGATGGATAACGCTCAAAGCCGCACCTGAGAATTTCCTAGCAACGACCACGCCAATTTATGCAATTGTACTCTTTTAGAATTTATATTTATATAATTTTTCACCGATTATAATTTCTATTTTTATTCGTTTTCAATTACACACGATATACGACATCATAATATAATGATGATGATCGATATCAGCGTAGATCATCGATTTTATCCAATAAATGGGTCACGACAGGTGTAAAAGTAATAATGCTACCGCATTACTCATTTTCTACTATGAAGGTGTCATCATTATCCTGATGTATGATACATTATTTCTATATGATATATTGTTCTTTGACGTTTAGTCTATAAATAAATCAAAAACAATTCTATACTATAATTCAAAGGCATTTTAATAACTTTTTGACAGATGTAAAAAATTTTTGGCAAGCATGAATATTTCCCATCTTAAATATCTGTCGGAATTTTAATCCAGTCGAATTAAAAATTTTTTTCCTAAAATGACAGTCATTTTGGAATGATATATGATCAAAAAAAGTACTCGGTCAGATTTACCCAGAGTATTCTATACGTGATCGAAAAATAAGTATCTGATATTTTATATATATCAGAATCTAAGGGAAATTATATAAAAGAATAAAATTCTTTTTTGTCGAATTAAAAAACATTTGAAAATATATAACTATAACAATTTTTATAAGAAAATATAACAGATTTTATCGTTATTCATTGAATTTTTATTAGAGAATAAAAAAATTTTAAGGCAAACGTAATATATAAACATAAGGCGGAACAATAAGTTGTACAAATTTTATGGGCACTATTCTTCAAAGTCGATAAATGTCACTGACCTGAAGAAATGGACTATAAATACAATATAGTAGGGAATATTATTATAGCAATCATTAGTCTTCTGTTAAAGGAAGTTTTGAACTCTCAAATTGAAGTCTAGAATTTATATTTATAAATGAAGTCGATTAGAGAAAGAGAGAATTTTGTTCTATAGAAAACGAGCAATATAAGCAAATTTTTAATATAACAAGAATATTTTCGTTTATACTATTTTTTATATTCCCAGTGGAAAATAGAAACGTTAAAAAGTTTCTGTAGAATTGGATACACAATTGCATTATTTATGTGTTATTCACTAGAAAAAAAACAAGGTTCTATTTTTTTTCAATTGGCTCATAAATCGATAATTTTTTTTTTTTTGAAACTAAACACGATTGAATGGATTGTGTCCTATTTTAAGTATTATATCTGTACTGAAATTTATGTCCTTGCCGCGATGTGACGTTAACCCCAATCTTCAATTTTACTTCGGTTTATTTATTGTCCAACTTTGAAATCGCAATTTATTTATATTTATCGCTTGTGTTGAAAAGTTTTATATTTTATCAATAGAGTTAATTATCCATTTTGTGTCAAAATTTATGTCAAAATTGATCAATTAGAAATAGTAAATTACTGATAACTTAAAAATATGAGAGGGGTTTCGTGACCTGCTAAGGTAACGGTGGTAACCATAGTAACGGTTGCTATGGTAACTGTTGCTATGGTACCGGTTTCTATATGGTACGGGTTACTATATGGTACCAGTTACTATATGGTAACAGTTACTATATGGTATCGGTTACAATGGTACCGGTTACTATGGTACCATTTACAATGGTACCAGTTTCTGTATGGTACCGGTTACTATATGGTACCAGTTACTATATGGTATCAGTAACTATATGGTACCGGTTACCATGGTACTGGTTACTATATGGTACCGACCACTATGGTACCGGTTACAATGGTAGCAATTACTATATGGTACCGGTAACTATGATACCGTTTACTATGGTACCGTTTACAATGGTACCAGTTTCTGTATGGTACCGGTTACCATGGTACCGGTTACTATACGGTACCAGTTACTATATGGTATCAGTAACTATATGGTACCGGTTACCATGGTACTGGTTACTATATGGTACCGACCACTATGGTACCGGTTACAATGGTACCAATTACTATATGGTACAGGTAACTATAATACCGGTTACTATATGGTACCGGTTGCTATGGTACCGGCCACTATGGTACCGGTTACAATGGTACCGGATACTATGGTATTGGCCACTATGGTACCGGTTACAATGATACCAGTTTCTATATGGTACCAGTTACTCTATTACTAGATACTATGGTACCGGTTACCATGGTATTGGTTACTATGGTACCGTTTACTATGGTACCGGTTACCATGGTACCGATTACTATGTTACCGGTTACCATGGTACCGATTACTATGTTACCGGTTACTATATGGTACAGGTAACTATGATACCAGTTACTATATGGTACCGGTTGCTATGGTACCGGCCACTATGGTACCGGTTACAATGGTACCGATTTCTATATGGTACCAATTACTATATGGTACCGACTACTATGGTACCGGTTACTATGGTACCGGTTAACATGTTATTGGTTACTATGGTACCGTTTACTATGGTACCGGTTACCATGGTACCGATTACTATGATACCGGTTACTATATGGTACCGGTTGCTATGGTACCTGTTGCAGATTGACACCAAAGCGAAACTAAGGCTTTTTGGGCCTAGGCCACGAAACCCTTAAACACAACAGTGTGACAAATAAAATAATAAAAATCTGTTACTTACAAAAATGTCCAATACTTCCACTCGAACTGCGCTCAAAACGAATTGCAACTGAAATACAAAAAAATATTACCATTAATTTTTTAGAATTTTGTAGTATATTTATATAAAATTACAAATATTAATTTCTTTTTGGCTTTTTTTTCACTTGCAAATTGTTCATATATTTTTGATTAAAATTTTTTAGAATTGAATTTATTTTTTACTGACAAACCGCGAATCATTTAAGCCATACTTAGTATCTATTAGTTAAGTCAGAAAGTGTTTTTTCTTTCTTTCTTTCTTTCTTTTTTTCTTGTCACTATATGTTCTGATCGGTTTACTATAAGATCAACGGGAAGGAGAAAAAAAAAGGCAATGATTAGTTTTCTATTCGTCCTCCAGTGTCTCCCATAAATCCTGACAAGAGATATCGAAGTTGTCGTTGAGGAAAGAAATAAGCTTACAGCACACGCTCGCGGATTCCTTATGTTCTTGATGTATATAAGAACCAGAAGTATAGTTGGAATTGTAAAACCGGTCGCGGGATACTTATACATACACACAAGTACCTTTTACAGTCTAGTTGACCAAGTTCTTAAACCGACATTAATCCTCATGATTTATCCACAATTTTTATCTTTTAAATTTATATATTATTGATTGTATAAGATGAATTGCTTTTTAGAAACATTTTACTATCTCAAATTTTGTGTATATTCCAATTTTAATTAGTTATTTATCTCAATTCTCTCAAGAACAATATTTACGTAATATTTATAGTTTATCAATTCATCATATATTTTTTTCTAGTTTCAAATAATGAAAAAAAAAAAAAAAAAGTTTTGATCAACTAAATACGGGCATGCAAATTACTTGACTTCCGCGAGAGGAGAGTTTGAGAGGGAAGATAAGACGATATATATTATTCCTTCTGACGTTGAAGTTATCAGAGGATCACACGTATATACCGCATATAAGGAGATCATGTATTACGGTAGGTCGGGCCAAAGGAATCAGGAAAATGTCTATATGCTCTTTCACAAGATGTATAATATAATATATATATATATATATGTGGCTGCAATAAATAAATAATCCAGAAAATAATTATATAATATCGTGTGTGTTTCGGGCAAAATTGAATTGAACGAGATGAAATCTTTTCATTTTATTATATACTCTCTCAATTTTAGTTTATTATGTTTAAATCATTGATTCCATTTAATTTCTTTTGAATTTCATTTCTTTCAATAAGAAAATAAAATAAGATTTAAATGCTTTTAATTTAATTTTTCAGTATTATTTTGCAATTGTATATCTAAATTGATAAAATCGGTATGGTGGCAATTTTATTTATTTTGTCTCACCCCAAAGAAATTTAAAAAAAAAATTTTATTTCAAAATATTAAATTCTTTGATATTAACACGCCTATAAGAGAAGATTGTCTCATATAAAGAAACTTAGTATTTTACAATTAATTATAAAATAAGAATAAATTTTTTTTTCCAATATTGCGTTTTATATATGCATTTCAAGATCTATTGGATTAGACATATATCATTAATAGACAGTGATATGATTTTCCTTGAATCTTATAATAAAGCAATTATTGTTCTGCCTTTATTTAACATTGATGAAATCAACTTTTGCAAAATGAGAATTTATGCTCTTTCCAAAAAAAAGAGTTAATATTCTCTTTATTTTATAAAGCATTCTACAATTGTAGATACGATATGGCATTTAAATGAATTTGTTAGCACGAATTCGTTTGAATTAGTGGATTATAAATATCAGTAGACTCTCACAGTTTCAGTGTGATTTAATCGTGATAAAGAGAAGTTGATTTCGTCATATTTTTTTTTTTTTTTATGAAGAAGAATGATGATCCCATCACAATAAAATAAAACTTAATATTTCTTTCTGTACTGCTTCGTTCATCTTTTTCAAAATCTTACAGATCTAACATTTTTTATATTAATTTTGGTATGATGTTCTTTTGGGTATAATTTACCTTTGCGATTAGGCTTAACAGTAGATTTTATTTTATTTTTAACTTTAACCTAATTTTATTTTATTTATAATATATCTGAAAGTAATAAAACCAGTGACTAATCATTATTATTATTATACTCAATTCATTAATTCTCACGAGAATAAAATCTCGTGAGAGAAGTCTTGACGTTTTTTTTTTATAAATCGTACTACTATCAATGAATTCATTGGATATAAAAAAAAAAAATGCAAAAAAAATTGTTCATAATCGTTTGGCTTGTCACACACATACAGTCAATAATATATATTGACACTCGACCTGTCCTGTTATATACGATTGCAATATGCAAATGTCACATAACACAGGCGTTTTATAAATTAGGTATTAAATTGTAAAAGGCATTGAAAAGTTAAACGTCGATGCTTTTAACATCAAGAATCGTAAAACATTTGCTGTCGAATCAAGATATGTAGTTATCGACTGTTCACCTCTGTAATTAGTCATGATATTTTTAAAGAACACGTGGGTGGCTCAATCGTATGGCAGACGATATGATTATCGGAGACCTTTTCAGGTTATAAAAGAATAATATATATATAATGCAAGTTTTGCATGTAACTGTACGTCAATACTCTCTCTTAAAATGATTAAGTGTCACGATACAGATTTTTATTATCACGATTTCATTTCTTTTTTTTTTTAATAATGTATAGCCCAAATGTGTTACTGATAATTAATGCAGGCTATTATTCATTATTTTTTTTCTTTTCGCGAGAATTTATTATACCCTTTCATTATATATTGATATACATTGGTATATAATACCAAATATTATCCTTTCATTATTGTTATACATTAGTAATTATTGATGCGCTATATTATTTGAGGTTTAAATATTCAAAATACGATTATTATCGTAATTATAGTAATTTGCCTTCAATGCTGTTAATGTTGAAATTTTCGTTTCTTTACAGTTTTCTGCTTTCGGAATTTATTTCAATTTCGCTTTTTTAATTTTAATAAATTGAAAAGAAAACTTAATGTTGATTTGTTAATAATTAATTATTAAATAAATATATTTGAATAAAAGTTTTTTGATTTAATAATAAAAGAAAAGATTATATATTCTCAAGTTCGCGATAGCCGTATTCGTTAAAACACCAGTCATGCATTTAGGGTTCGATTCCCCTTGGGTTCAAAAGAATTTTTTTCTTTACTTTTCCATCTAAATGTATTTACATTACATTGAATTTAAATATCAACTAATTGAAAATTCTAGTCACCAACAAATTCTGATTAAATTTATCAGAAAATGAAGTCTCAGTATAATTTCTCATAAACATCGAATAATTACTATTATAAATCTCAATTATATGACAGTAATTGCAAAATATTAATTTTTCGAAAATAACTATTAAATTCCCTGATTTGTTATTCAAGAAAAGAAAAAAAAAATTAAGAGCCGTTGCATAGTTTCCATATGTATTGGATTGCAAACGTCACTCTTGTCCTGGATTTATGTGCTTTGATAAAATCTACTTGCTCTACATCGTATGAATATGTTTTTCCTATGAAACTTCTTCCCAACAAAATTCCTCTCTCAGATATGTACAATGTATATTTCAAAAAATTTTATTTACTTTCTTATACCACATATAATAAAAATAAAAAAGGGAAAAAAATTTCGCTTTTCTTTGTTACACTGTAATTTGTTTTCACATATATATATATTGTTACGTCTCAAATATAAGAAATAACTTCAGAAATTATATTTTATTTTTATTTATTTCCGCTTCGGTGATTCAGGGTAATCCTGTTTCATTTACAGAGCAGAAGGCTCTGAACTAAGGGTACAGGTAAGAAAGAGAATAGAAATTTTTATAATTAAGTTACAATTTTATTTAGACAAATTTTTAGGGTTAAAATAGTTCGTTCTTATGCGAGAGAGAGGGAATCTCAAACCAACCAATCCAGGAAATGAGTTCAGCATTCAACTGAAATAAGGAATGTAAGGGTTACCACAAATATACGACAAGTTTAGAAAGTTAGGAGTAAAAATATAAGACACTTACCTTAAAATTCAGTAGTAGATAAGTTTCAATAAAGAAAAGGACCACTGCTGTGTCCTTTGTTGACACAGGAAAAAGAGCTGGTACCAGCGTGAGTTATGACGTCCGGAAGGTTGACGGGCCCAGGTATAACCGCAGGTCCGGAGTTCTATTAGGCGTGACGAATGTCCGAATAATGAGTCTCTTCCAAATAAATAGATAATTGCCCAATGCAATAAGTAGTGATGATCCTCGTTTTATGTAGAGGGTATTGATGCTTGATTTTAACTTTGATATAAGAGAATTATGCACTTGTACTATAAGACGTCGACTGGCACCAAGAATGAGATTGATACGTATGAAGATAATTTGAGAACTAGTTGATGTTATACGTATGAAGAGGATCCCAGAACTGGTTGATGTTATACGTATAAAGAGGATCCCAGAACTAGTTGATGTTATACGTATGAAGAGGATCCCAGAACTAGTTGATGTTATACGTATGAAGAGGATCCCAGAACTGATCTCTCCATGAAAATGTAGCCCTTTTATACTGAGTTTTCGTAAGAGAATAGATAAAATTTTATTGTCCTACTATATATTTTCACCCTAATTTTGGAAGTCAAAGTTCAGTCCTTCTCTCTCAGTTGAACGTAAAAAGGGGGGTGTGAACCAGCTTCTTCAGGATACGAAAGTATGACTATGATTATTTGCAGCTGTACTCTTCTAATGTGGTGATACCACAGGGGTTCGTCACATAGGATAATTGGAAAGAGCGCATTTATTACATCGTTTGATTTTAGCACAGGGAAAATTAGAAAGGGATCATTTTGTTTTGTGGGGGTGTGAGCTCTTCTGGTATCATAAAAGATTTCTCGCTTCTATTTGTATGTATACAGAAATAGAAATACAGTAGATTGTCGTAGAAGGATACTAAACGCAGGGGTCTTTTATATATAAAAGAAAGATGTTTAGTTACACGAAAAAAAAGGGGCGGAAAGAGAAAAGCACACGTGTGCTTGTCGCA